ACGAAATTCTCCGGACCCACTTCACCAAAAACCTAATGCAGCATGTCTCAGGATCGAAAAAAATAAGCAAAAAAAGTGGTAAATAGAATTATTTTTATTTTGCTACTATCATACAATAACAAAGCCGCCATTAATTTTCTCTCACACAACTCTTAACAACTAAATGCAAATATTGACTTACCAATGCTAGGAGCACAAATGAAAGTGCTATGAAAATGTTTTTTTGAGTCTAAATAAATAAAAGGGGTTAAATTCGCCTTTGTTTTTTTGACCCTAAAATAAATTTTTGAGGTTAAAAATGCATTGAAATGACTTAGTGTTTTGTTTAGCTAAATACCAAACACCCGGGCAATTTAATTGTGACATACACTTACTCTGCGCGTCGCCTTTGAGGCGGGTTATTAGAACCTTTTCTGTGGTACTTTGATTTGCTACGACTTTAAGAAAGGCTTGAGCGATATTTATCACTTGATAGCGTATCGTTTAGAGAGAGCCACGTCCATATGCATCCCCACCTCCTTTCCTTAAGACCTCTTTCACTAACTATCTCTTCATCCCTCTTTCATGTGTAGTTTTGGCGCCATGTTGAGTCGCCTTTTCGTTCTGGTTTCGGGTAGTCCACTCAATGCATAGACAGCATGCTCAAGGCTCAAGGTGTAGGTCCCTTTTTACGTTTGGTCGTAAAATCTGTGGTATTGTACTACTATAGGCGGATATTTTACAAATGTTTTGTGGGACACGTATCGATCACTAATAGTTGACCGGAACATGTCTAAAGGTAGCATTTTGTCATGCGATGCCTTGACAGGGAAACGTTTCGGGATGGGACGGTTGCCTTTTTTCGAGCAATCTTCTGGCTTGAGTTAATCTGACTAAACACATCCCATTCCAGCATAGCTAATATTAGTGACGTGGCGAACCTTCATATGTAAATCGTTTTATGAGCCAAAATGGTGTTCAACTTACACTTCAAGCGGAGGCGGTTTCAAACCTTACTCCACTCATAGCACTTATAACGCTTGCAGAAATGGACAGGTCTGTTAGCTCCCATTTCTGAGATATAGAAAATCAATCGTACTGCACTGTTTTTTGCGATTGCTACTGATTTATTTTGACAACGATATCTACGACTGTTTGGCCTCCTCCTCCACAAATATTTCAACTAACATGCGTTTTATTTGTGTAGGCTGAATAGAACACCTACGACTCAGTTTATTCCACATTTGCATCCTAATGCTAGAATCAAAATTTTTCGTGCGTTCATGTACATTGGCGGTATTTCGTGCTAATGCAGAACATTGAAATTTTTAGTACCTACACGAAAGAGTGATTTTCTTTAGCCATTCACTTCTCGATGCAGGGTAGGCATGGATGTAAGTAAGCGTGGCCCAAAGGCTAGACAATAGTTGATTGTTCCACAGCTTGACCCTAAGTTTGGGGTTAATTAATTCCAAATGCACCGGTGTGTCAGGGAGTAGAAACCACTAATTACTAGTAAATTATTTTTAGGCATCATGAATTTAGGCACACATAACCTTTTGAAGAGCTGGAGAAATTCCCTTTCCACCATTGGAAAATTGGATTGGTTTTTGGGGTGTGAGGGAAACGTCTACTTATGATTTAAGCCTTACAGTCCAAGACGAATTATTTTCTTATGTGATCACAAATTATGTATAAGTTTGCTCATTTTACCATATAGTAGTTACCCCTGACCTTACTGCTTATTTGAAATCAAATTTTTTACTATTACAGCTTATAAGATACATGGAACCTCTTGTAACCAAGATTCACGTTTCAGTTTTCATTGATTTGCGTCAAAAAAGAATAAAATGTGTCAATGGGAAACATGTTGAGTCCTGACAACCTTGCGCTGTCTCATGACGATTTGTTTAAGTCAATCACAGACGCTGCCGTTCACACATTTATTGTAAATCAATAGAAGTGACTTGCACACATGTTCTGAAGAACGTTTTAAATAAAAAAGTAGACTAAGTTTTTTAAAGTGAGATTTGTTATTTTTTGAATTTGTGTAAGGAACATTCTTTTAGGATCAAAAGTTTAAACTTGGGTAGTTTTATTAATCTTAATATACATTATTATTCGGTGTTGGATCGACGTTGGAGTCGCAAAGCTTTTGTTGATTGGAACGATTTCGGTCACAGTAGATGCACCTCCGACATCGGATTCTGCGACGTCCACTGCTAAAAACGGTGAAAATCATTATATTTAACGAATGAATTTTGCGACAAAAATCTCATCATCCACGGGTGGAATGGCGTCCCTTCTCACGTTACCATAACTCCATCTTAAGTGAGAATGGAGACGTGTTTAATATTTTATACGACTGAAGATGACCCCTCCCATGGGTGTTTGAAAAAACCAATTACATAGTTTTTTATAAAAGAGGTCTAGTTAAATTTTTGGCCCTACTTTTAGGGTGTACTTTTTACATTCTTGAACAAAGTAGAGTATGAAGCAAACTGATGCGCTTTACCTTTTTCACTGTATGCGAAATCAGGGACTTTATCCCAACCAACAAATCGCTAAACGCGTCTGAACCAGTTATCCTTAATTGGCACTAACTCGAGGAAAATGCGTTGAAAGGCTAAACTTGCCACCTAGGGGAGGTCTCATATTTCCTTCTGACTGACTTTTGAGTATTTGATGTAGTTTGAGCTACTTTGCCTTCACTTATCCTGGCAACTTGCAATCGCACTTTGCAGAGGCTGCACTGCATTTCCGCCCACAACTACACACCGGAAATAGCTAAAATATTTTGATTTCTACAAGCTACATTAATATTATTTTAAAATAGGGCTAACTGACAGGTGCTGATTGAAATTTCCGGCGGATGAGACCACCAAGGCAAATTTTATGGTCTGCCTGGAGACATTAGAATTTTTTTCATGTTTATAGACTTTCGAACCATCAAAATTATGTTTATTGCGCTGTGAAAGTTTCGAAAATATTTCTCCTCCCCTCCCCTCCCTCCTCCGCCCAACAGCAATATTAGCGCTTAAACTTGAAAGACATTAAATTTTTAAACACTTTTCTCCCAGTACTTTTAGATTACACCATTTTGAACAACTTTATTTTTTTTTCGTATCAACCACCTCGGCCAGTAGATCAAAAAGTTGACAATGTGCCTTTACTTTTGACGTTTTGACCTACCACATTTGGAAAAATGAAGTTTGAATCGGTAGTATACGAGAAAAGGAAGTGAGTCTTTGTCCCAAACAAAAGGCGGCGTCATGAGTTATACCGCCTCTCAACTATGAACTGAGACATTTGAGATTTTCTTCCCACCCCCTCTCAGTCCCCCTTCCTTTACTTAATGCAAAAATAAGAAGGGTAAATTACTGGATTACCTTTTCTAGGTAGTGTTAAAATTGCGTCAACATGAACAACACAATATACAGGCAAACTGAAACGGGGAAGAGGAAGTCAGTCATGTGTCACCCCATGCGAATTGCAGGTCTGGCATAATTTCTCTTCAAATGTCTACCAACATCGGTCGATTCAATGGGAATCGCCACCTCCGTGTCGTAGGGCTCCTGACGCTCAAGTAGTCGAGTTAGCCAAAGGGGATCGAGATCACCCCTACCTCCGACCTCCTGATCTCGCAGACCCCATGGCGAGCAGGTGATGAGGCCTGACATTTCAGAACACCAAATTATGACTTATGTTAAGCAAGAGTGACAAAAATAGGTTTTTATGAGGTTTTAGGATTCCTGTAATTGTTGTGGTGTGCTTTGGGCTTACCACTTAGCCGAAGAGCTAACAGATTCAACCTGATGCTGTTTTAATGCGATAGCAAAAGTATTTTTTGCTTTTTGTAATGGTCTCATGAAATTGTGAAGATCATATTTGCAAAAAAGAAGCACTTTAAGGTGTCAATCGTCATGTTCCCTTCTCGCCTTTCGGTACGCCTGCTTAAGGAAGTTATTTTTCTAGTCTCCTGTTTAATTTTCGATTGGCATGCTTCAGTCCGGAGTGAAACGAACTTACCGAGGGCTGTAAAGAAGATGACCAGTCGAAGAGGAAGGCTCAAGCAAGTCAGTGTTCGCATACTTATTACGTCTGATCCAAAAAATCAAAAAGCGGATGAAATTTGAATTCCAATGTCCCAAAGAGCACTGGTATGAATAAATTAAATAAACATGATAGAATTAAAGAGGAGAGAGTAAAAAGGCATACTCACAACCTAACAAGGACTGAAATCGATGTGACCACAAAATATTAGAAAAGGCCTTTTATTCGAATTCTCTCCAATGGGACTGCAGCACAGTAACCAATAGGAAAACGGCTACCAGTTCTCATACCACAATGCCAAAATACTACTTATTATCATTGTAAGCATTAAGTAGTATGCTTTTAATTTGGTTTCTTAAATTTTGCAGAGTTTAATAACTAAACACCTTGATTAGTCAAATTTATAATAAAATATTTATTTTTTGATATTTTTTCTACTTGATTGTTGATATTAACAGTGATAGGAGTGAAGAAGGGTAGAAATTCATCTCATTCCTCTCCTTCGCACCACCTTAAATATTTCACCTTATCGCCGCATGATTTGCTGTTTCCGGTGTGTGAACTACATTTCACGATAGTCTAGTATTGGCTACGAATGGGACAAAAATTTGAGACAAATTTAGTTTGTATACGTAATATTTTGCGGAAAAATGCACCATCTTGTGCACCTTTGAGGATGGCATGCAGCGAAAAGTAAAATAGCCCTTTGACACACATAAATAGAGTGGAAAATGTAAGATTAGAGTCAATTATCCAGTCATTTGTGCATATTTGTGACTCTCTGATTGGTTATTTGTGCTTTACAGCCTATAAAATTTTCCCACATCATAGGGGAGGGGGAGGGACGAAAAAGATTTCCGCCTTGGGCACCATCGCTACTCATGGGTGACATACTAATAACCCCTTAACCTTATCCAAATCAGCCCAAAAGACTGGCCTTAGTGATAGCCTGACAGGCAACGAAGAAGTTGTCTTTTCTTATCTCTTTTTCACTTCAAAAACAACAGAAAGGAGAATAACAGGAGTATCATAACAGAGAACTAAGGACAGACGTGTCGTGTTAATTACAGGGCAAATTTTTCTGATTGGTCAATGGGGTGTGAGCTGCGGTGGACCAGACCAAACGACCACTTTTACCATCCCCCTCCCCCCTCCTCTCCCTCCTCCACGCCTTCCGCCACCGTGGCACAATGGGTGGAATGAAGAGGTCTTTTGTCCAAACCAATTATACCGACTCTTTGTTTGCCTCCATTAGCCACCTTAGGGAGAGGCATTCATTAACACAAACTGCAAGAAATGGAAAACAAAAAGAAAAGAAAAAAAAGAAACACAACAAAAGAAAGCAAGAAAATTTAAACGTCTTTACATCTCCTTTATTTTATTTACTTTTTTTTGGTTGTTTATACGACAATCACGGTGGACATCGAGGAAAAGTAGAGTAATGCAACGCTGTCTGTATGACTAAGAGGCTATTGTAGTGCTCATCTTCATGGAGAGTGAAGGTCCCTTCACACCTT